GGGCGGGCGAGCCCGCGCCGCAGTACGTCCCGATGACTTTCCGTTTTCCTGGAGTGCTACACGTGTGCTTGTGTCGGTGGGAAGATAGAGGAGCAGGCTCCTTTATCTGAGCATCGTTACTATCACTTTTTATCTGCATGCAAAGAAGCCTGGTGGAGGGTTAAGATTCTTCGGGGTTTGGATCTTGACTCTTGCTGTGAGGTGGGTATCAAGCTTCGTAGTAGCTGTCCTGACCAAACAGTTTTTTTTCTTATGACTGTTTTTCAGCCCCAAGATGAAATAGAAGTTGAAGATGGGTTTAAACAGTATGATGGTAAGGCTTTGCTACAGTGTTACCGAAATGTAACTCAAAAGCTCTGAGTGTTTTGATCCTTTATGTGCGCTGTTTTTGTACTGACTCTATTACAAGAGGATATTTCATTACTGCTTAATGATAGTTGCCTGTCTTGCCTTAGTGATTAGTGCATTAGATATGGAAGCTATGATGAGTACCATAAATGCTTGGATAAAAAACCCAGTCAAGTTTGAACGTTCTCATGGGATCAACAACACACTGGATGCCCAGATCTTACAAGATAAGGAGGGAAGAGATGAAACAATCCACATTCTTATCATTGAAGGCTTTCTACTTTACACCTACAGGTAATCAAATGTGCCTTCATATATTTTGACTTTTACATGGTTTTACATGACAGGCAAACCTCCAAGGGAATAACAAAGACCTGTTCTAAACCAAGAGTTAGCAGCTGGTATTGATTACCGCTGAGTTTAGGTGTCATAAATCAGAAGATGGCTCTAGGTACAGGAAATGGGTGCAGTTTTACCTTTCCATTTCTTGCTACTAATCAAACAGCCTAGCTGTAACCAAACATGTATTTCTTTCAGGCCACTGATTGACGTATTCCACCATCGGTACTTTCTTTCCATCCCATATGAAGAGTGTAAAAGGAGAAGAAGGTAAGTTTATCTTTCTAAGTTCCCTTGCTAGCCCAATAACATTTTTCTCCATTCAAGACTTTGTTTCTCTAAAGCTTTTAAATAAGAAAGGATAAACACTAGTGTTACAAGACTGTAGCTTTCTTCACCAAACGAACCCAAAACCTTCCTACTGTATATGTGAGGCTAATGCTCAGATCTTTCAACAGGCGTTCTCCCTTTCTGGTTTTTCAATGATAAGGTTCCTAGGTCTTGGGGTTTCATATTTGGCTGTATTGTTGTACATGTACACTGTTCTTAATGCAAATGAAATGTGTTAAACTTGAAAAAGTACATTTTGGAGGAATATGCAGACGGCTATTTTATCCAAAGTTCTGCTAAACCTTTGAGGGAAGGTTATTCGTTAGTGTTAAGATCAGTGTGTCTTAGGAATCTTTTCTGTGACTTGAATGCTTTGCACCTGCACATCAAAATCCAACTTTTCTGGGGTATCTTTATGCTTGCAGCTCACGCTAAATACTGACTTTTGATAAACTCAAAAACTGCATTGGAGACAACGGGCTCAGGCTAGTGTGTAGAGAAACTTAATGAACTGTCATTTCCCTGAGCTGTAATTAGATTACTCTTGAATAACAGTGTCTTAACTAACTTACAGCTCAAGGAATTACACTGTACCAGATCCACCTGGATTGTTTGATGGCCATGTTTGGCCTATGTATGTAAAGCACAGGAAGATAATGGAAGATCTGGGAGTTGATGTGGGTAAGTCTTTAATGACAAAAGCACTTTTTAAGGATTGTTTTTTGAGAGTCCTTTTCAAACCTGAGACATACATACTTGTTAGATGCATGAGAGGAGTTGAAGCAGGTGGAGTGAGGGAGTGTATTTCTCTGGTATCAGTCAAGGGCATGCCCTTTAAATTAGGATCTGGCAGGCTTACAGAAACATTCAATTACAGCGCTCTTAATTTTACTTTCTTACTTTAAGTGCACTTGAATGGAACAAAATCAAAGGAGGAGCTGTTTAATGATGTGTATGGACAGATCCAAAATAAGATTGAAGAATTACTTAACATGCAGGTACGTGTTCGTGTTCATAATTGCAACTCAAAGGCAACCCTTTTGAAGGCAATGTTGAAAAAGCATGAAGCTGTAACTTGAAATATGTTCATGTATATCTTTCTGTTTAGAAATAAGCTGCTGCTGCTGACTCTTGTGAGTGAAGATGATTCCTGTTTGCTCTGCGTTGTCTACCTGACTGCCAGTGAAGTTCCAGCTTCTGTGAAGACTCAACTCTTAAATTCAGTTTTGTTCAATCTTCCCTTGAAACCGAGTTATATATGGTCATAATTAAAAAGCACTTCCCCCTTGTCTGTCATCTTAATTTGTGCTTTAGCGTAGTCTGTGGCCTCAGATGATCTCAGTCTTCTCCCAGACTCCAGTCTGTGGGGAATTCCTTTCACATGTTCTTAACTTCTGAGAGTAAAATGTTATAGTGGAACTGATGTGAAGTGGCACAACTATCCTAGGAGCGTTGTGTACATATGTGTGTGTGTATATATATGCACACATGCTGCTTTGAGTTCCTTTCAATAACCTGCATCAAATTCTATAATCTGTCTCATTAGGCAATAAGTATGCTTCTTGATGAAGAAATTAGGATTGACTTTGCTTTTCAGAAATGAGAGAACAACAGGAGCTTTTTCAGGCCATTTTATTAAATCCAGTGCATGGATTGATCTCAGTTGCAGACAATGCAGTTTAGAGTGGGGGAGAAAATTTTCCATATACAACAGCTTTAAAATTACTGATTGCTGTAGAAGACTTCAGTATTCTGTAGCTTAAGGCAAGTTTAAACTCCTGTGTATGTACAGAAGTAGTTTAAGGCCTTGGTTTCCATAGAAGAGTGGTGAAAGAACATAGGAAGGCTTAATCCCTAGTAGGGGGAAAATTGAATTTAGGACAAAAACTTGATTTGAAGAAAAAAAGTCTGCTAGGTAGTCAAAGAGGGAAGATATGTATTGATCCATTGTGAGACCAGTCCTTTTTCTTTGAAAGGGTTTGACCAACACTAGGAACCAGTAGTTACTTCAAGCCCAGATGCAGTAGCTTCCTGATGGGAGCTGGTCCTCCCCAGTATCCCCTAGAAATGGAGAAAGTTGTTAAATCAAGTTTTATGTATATACTATCAAAGTCAGGCTTGGAAGGGAAAGACACCATACGTGCTGCGACTGAGTGTTAAGGGTTTGGTTTGGAGAATCATTTCAGTTTGAGATTTTCAGTTGAGCAAGGGGTGCCCTTCTGTGCATTTCAACCCTGTTCTGCCTGAACAAACCCCTGTTACTAGCTAAGTGCCCAAAATCTTCAGCTAGTTGAGGTCTTAGTCATGACTAAGCATGCACTCTGTTTGCTTCTATTCTAGCAAGGAACTAAGCCAGAACAGGTATCTGTACCTGGCTTTTCTGAATGATCACAGCAGCTCTGCCTGCTCAGAATCAAAATACTTACTTAAGTAGTGCATTCCAATAGAGAAAAGGCATCATATCAGCTTTCATATGGTACATGGTTACTCTCTCCTTACTCTGGTCAATGGGAAAGGTCTCCAAAGGCTGAGCATTGTAGTCAAATTCTGCTAGAATCACCTTGTTGTAGCCTGTTACTAGTGGGCAGGAAGTATATCCGTCATACTGCAATGAAGAATACCCCCTTTTCATTAATCTGCGCCCAATCCAAGTGCAGAGGTACGACAAGCCATATGGTTAACATTGATGTTTCAAAATAACTTACTAGGAGGTTTCCACGTTTATAGCATTAATACCAACGAGTTTGGAAGGCTGCTAAGCCAATTACGGCTTAATAACCATTTTCTTTCAAATGTAGATGGTAGATTTGCATAACAACAGTGCTTAAATGGGAACTAACCTAGAACAATAGGGCTTTGTGTCATTAATTGTTGGTTATTATTGTAACCAGTAGAATAGGTGACCAGTAAATCAGGATATGAGCTGGCACTGGCTTTAACAGTATAAAAATGTAATCTTTAATCTAGTTGCAAGAATCTCCAGAGGATCACAGGAGTATAGATGATGATATTCAGGTTGGTACCCCAAGGAATATTAATTCAGAAGCCATATGTAAAATGAAAGCCAAGTCTCAAAGAGAAACTGGAACATAATTATAGGCTTAACATCTTCTGTAGTACAAAACCTTCAATTTAACTTCTTAAAAGATCATGTTCTGTACAGGGGAGCCAAGTTTAACAATGTACAGATGTGTCAAGTTTGCAAGGGTTTTCCTGGAGTAGGGATTGTACTAGTCAATGGTTTAAATAAGTCACCTGCATTGGTGAATAACTCAGACTAATCGGCCATTAAACTTCTTTCAACTCAGAAATCAGAGAACTGGACAGTATTTTTAATGGCAGTATCGAGAATATGAATTACGCAACCAAATTACTACTATGACATACAGTATTTAGCCATTTAGCACCAGAACTGCCGCTGCAAAGCCCTTCCTGCCTTCCGGTTCATGACTTCCTGCATCCTGCATAACAATGGAGAAAACATTCAAGATAACTCCTCCCTAAGACAAGATCCGTAGGTACCTTTTTAGTTGGCAACCGGTTCTTCATTACCAGGGAAATAGTTTTATCAAGGACTCCAGACTGGGCAGCTGCATAAAAAAGAAAAAGTGTATTAAGGCTTTGTTTCAGGCAGCAATTCTTGTCTTTGCAAGAGCAAACACTACTAGTCAGGCATTTTGTTGGACAATTCAGCTGTAATTGAATTTGCCTGTCAAATCAGTTTGGGGAGTTTACAGTTTTAGGTAAGAAAAAAAATATTTGGAAGAATGGTTTGGCCTCTCCGTTTCCAACATGCTAAAGTTTAATGAAACTTGAGCTGTATGTTTTTAGCCTATGCCATTCTCCTATACTGAATTATACTTTCTCAGTCTTCCCACACATTAAGATTCTGGCACACTGAAGTTTTGTTTCATTTTGAGTGCTGTAAGGGAAGTATTCTACACCCATTTTCTGGAATAGTTAACGATACCATTCTTCACGCTACACCAATAACATACCGTATAGCCTTTTTTTCCCCACACCAATATCATACAGTATAGCCTTTCTTTTTTTCCACCCTTTGCCTTTTTTTTTTTCAGTTGTGAGACCATAAAGTGTTTTTATATTGGAGCCTGTAGCTACAAGTACAGAACATGGGATTCTTCAACAGTGACTTATCAGTTAGCTGACACATATGCATGAGCTGCTCAGATAGAGCAGCAAGTTTTGTTACCAAATGACGACGGAATGCAAGAGCAGTACACTCATTTTATGCTGTTCCATGAACACAGAAAAGAGAATTAGTTCATCTGTGAGGCATTTGGGACAAGAGAACTGTGGGTTAATGGCATCAGCATGGTCTGTAGCTAATTAGTTGGCCCAGGAGACTTAGATCTTTTTGGAAGTTAGAAATAATTGAAGTCAAGACCTCAGGAGTAACAAACCAAACAAAAAGCTTACTGTCACTCTTACACTTTTCACTACACACACAAAACACACATGTGCAACTTTACCTACAGCTGCAGCAGTTTTTGATGTTGGAAGGTTGGTGCAGTCTCCAATACCAAATACATTGGGATACTTTTTATGTTGTAGAGTTTCCTTATCTACATCCACCCAGCCAATTTCATCTGAGACAGGACTGTTGATGAGTACCTCAGGTGGCCCCATTGGGGGTGTGACATGAAGCATTTCATACTAGACAGAAAGAAAAGGCACTCAACAGCTAGTGTATCCGAGCAAATCATACCTGTGTTGATATAAGGCAGTAAGTGCAGCGTGGAGAGGGCTTTCTTGGTTTGTTGTTTTTTTAAAAAACACAAGTATATAGAATGAAAATTTACTCTCCAATTTGAAGTGCATCCTTTTATTAACATGAACCTTATCAGGCAACTCTATTTAGACTGGCATTAACAGCAATTTGCCTTCCTCCGTAAACATCTGAGACATTTCCAGCTTGTACTAACACGGCATACAGGACTCCAGGCATGATTTATGAAATATTTTTTTCTTCTCTCCACCTTAGTTTCAAACTTCTTAATTTTCTGCTAAAATTAGAGACGGTACTCTCAGCGGTACACAACAAAGCACACATTATATTATACAGTGTGGCAGTTATGTTACAGTATATAAGGAAAGGAGATAGGCCCAAACTAGAGGTCTGAAAGCTCCTGACCTGATGAACTTCAGTCACTCCGGGTTTGTCCAAGTTTTCAAACACAGCTTCTCGCTTGTCTGCTCGAACTTCTACAAGGTTGCGCTTATAGTTAACAGCAATATTCCTCTCTTTTACTATTTCAAGCAATGCATCAGCATACTTCTTAACACCAAAAATGACACCAAGTGAAGTGTTGAACATTATGTTTGCTTTGGAACGTTTTCCTGTCTGCACAGAGAGATCAAATTAGCCTTTTCTATTAAGAAACTGTGACAAGCTAGCAGAGACAAAGAACATGCTGCACTACTGAAGAGCTGATAGATGTATTAATGCAGTTCAATTAGTAATGAAGTATTAACATCAGGACTCTTGAGATAGAGCTATTTCACACCATGTTAGAAGGTAAACAAGGTAATCTTTGCCCTGAGTGAGGTACTGAAGACACCCCACACAAACTGCTAGTGAGAAGAGGTGGCTGCAATTCACTGAGGAACTGCCATATGCAGGTTAAGCATTTGTGGCAGCTTAGCATTATATAGCTTTCTGAACCTTCAGTTCTATGCATTATTCAGATAGCTCATGAAACTTAAACACATATGAAGCCTGAGACTTCCACTTGAAGTTGTCTTTTGTTTCCACTAAGCTTGCTTTAACAGCCTGGCTAAGACTCCTCCTGATGCTGAGACAGTACACCACAAGGAGCAAGCATAGCCACTTTTCAGACTAGCAGAAAGACAAATGGCAACAGGTATTAAGTACTTAAAGTAACAAGAATTACTTAATTCCAGCCAGCATGATTTTAGTGCACCACCTGAAGTTATAAATTAGGCTGAGAACAGTTGTATCTGTAGCTCACCAGATACAGGGTAAGCAATTCTTTCCTTATGGATTCTGAATTCGACAAGTTTCTCCAGTATTAAATATATGTTAAATATTTATGTACAATTCAGTTAGCTTCATTTATTATACATTAATAATAGCAAAAGCAACTCAGTCACTTTAATAATCCTGCGTCACATTCCTCTTCTGTGGTTTTTATTTGTTTTAAAAGATCATATGAACCCCTTAGAGTAAGCCTTCCTTCCAACCGTGGGAACAAGCACTGTCAGAGAGAGTAAAATACTTACTTTCCTCCAGTAGGCCTCTGATAAATACATGATCTTCTGAGGAGCCCCTGCACACTTCACTGGAGTATTTGGAAAAGTGAAGATAGCATTTCCTTCCTTGAAATCTTGTAAAGCTTTCCATGTTTTCTCTACCGTATGAACTGAATAATTGGAACCTATTTTAGGGTGATGAAAACCCTCAGGCAAGCCTTTGATCTAAGAAAATGAAATTAAGGTTTAAAGTACAGGTGGCAAAAATTTTGTCATCATTGTCAAGTATTAAATGCACACTTGAGAAATAGCTACTTAAGAAGCCTCTAGCAAAAAGACAGTCCATACATACTTGCTAGTTGGCATTTTTGAAAATAAGCCTAGAAATCAAACATATTTCCATTAGAACTTAGTAGATGCAACATCTACTGAAATGACTCTGCTCTGCAACGTCTGTAGCATAAGTGTTCAGTGCAGACCCAGACCCAAGTTTTTGTAGACCAGTGCATGAAATTCGGAGTAAGAATATATAAAGTCAGTGCCACACCATCGTAAGTAAAAATCATGTAATAAAAAAAAAAAAGGGGCATTATGAAAATCTGTAAGGTGAATGAAACTTTTTAGTAGTCAGTTGCAGATACCTGCATTTCCTCATATTATTTTGTTTTAACTCAACTGTCTCCATTAATTATTTCACTACTACTATGCCTGCACATCTGCTTGTGAGAAAGGGAGTTGTCCCCATTTCAAAATAATGGGTTGCAGAAATTCTGTGAGAAAACCAACTCGTTACATGCACTGCAATGTGTTTGGGACATTACAGTCTACACCAGGAGGTCTGCTGTTGCTGAAGACAAGTAAGAGAAACCATCCCTCATTTTAAACTGGCCACTTGCATTTTAAAGCCGTATAAATCTGTTACTATGAATTTTATTCACTACAGAGTAATAGTGATTAACTCTATTACATGGCTTCTACTACTGAATACTGAATTTAGTTTTATTGGGTTGTACTGAAGAGATATATATGAAGACTGACAGGGTCACTGAATGCAATGCAATTCCTCATTCCACTAAGCTAATCACCAGCATTTATCTGGTGTGACTATAGTTAACTAAGACCAGCTCTTGCTTTGTGTATGCCTTGGGAGCTATTCAGAGAGATACTCAAATATGTTATTCAGGTCAGGTTAAAACCATGAGAGTCAAATTGCTCAAACATCTTGCCTCTGTGTTTTCCTACGTATCGCTATGTTCGTTCCTGTGCCATACAATGGCATTAACATTTTGTCTGAGTGTCACTGTATAGTGTACAGGAAACCTAGCAGATGGGGAGGGCTCCAGAGCCTATTTATCACAAGCATGGTAACCCAGCCGGGTCCCTTTTGAAGTGCATCCTTTAAGAAAGGTGAGGGTGAGTCAAATTAATTCTGCAGGACAGATTTTACTCACTGCTGTGTGTTCCTCACTGCTGTTTACATTAGTGATGCTTCAGACCACAGTCAGCATACCATCTCATTATTACAGGCTGCCTTTAAGTTCTAGCTTTAACTTGCTGCCCCATCTGCTGATACTGCCAGAGATGCAAAGCAGCTGTCTTACAAGACCTTCCCAAGGGTAATTTGAGTTATTACATAGAGATCTGTGGAAGGAGTAGAGTCATTAGGCTGTCTTCTGGCTCTTAGTTAGTATTAGCATTCAATATCTTGCAGTAAAAAACAGCCATTTACTTTAGTGAATCATAAGGGCATGTGATGCCATTAAAACTAATAAAAACATTATTACTGTGAAACAAATACCTTTTCGTAATGCAGACTAATCCCAAGGGCAATTATCAGATACTTGTAAGAAATCTGTTGCGTAAGGAGAAAAAAAAGTATTTTAGACAAAACCTGAAACATTACCTCAAAGCAAATTTAAGTTATCTGACAGCAACAGAGTCATAAGGCAAGGAGATATAGGGAGCATTAGTAATAGTACTGTTAAGGTCTAAGAATAATTTATAGTTAAAATGCTAACTGCATTATGAGTTATACACGGAGCCTTTGCTATGCACAAAACAGTGTTTGGAGGAAAATATTCTATCTTTTGTGTTCAGTTCACTATAAACAGGGAAAAGACTTATGATAATGATATTTTAAGTTGATGTTATTCTAACCTAGTTATCTATAACAATTTTCATTAGAAACATATTTTAGGATCAAGTACTTCTCATAAGACTAAGTGGAATTTCCTGGCTTCCTAGATGCTGGAAGAAGGTCTTGCTCCATAGGCAAGGGGATCTGCAGGAGGTAGACAGACAACTCATGACACAGAGTAAGAGACTAAGAATATATATATATTTTTTTAACATTATTACCTTGATATCATTCTCCAGCCAGATACAGTTCTTATCTGGATCCAAAGCTGTAACTCGAGATTTGATCCACTCGACACCTTTAGGCATTACGCTTCCTGTTGGACGCGCAGAAGTTGCCAGCTGCTTTGCACCACCGCCAACCAGGGTCCACAGTGGCTGATAGTAATGAGTCTGAAAGAAATGTTCAAATGGACATTTAAGAACTGTTTAAAGGGACTTTAAGATGACGGTACATCACTCCACATAGGTAGCAATGTGCTCTTAACATTGTATTATTCTTAACAAAAGAAGCTGTATAAAAAACCAAGAGTTTTGCATGACAAAGCTGGAGGGATGCATGTATCTCTATCATGGAGCAACAAATTTCATGCAAAGCCTTCTACAAGATGGCTAGTTGGCTTCCTCTCCACTTTCCTTTCCTCTCCAGTTAAAAATGTGGGGTTGGAGAGGGATGAGAATCAGACCAATCTGGTCATGTATGTAAAAACGCTTATTCTTTTCAATGCTTTACAGACAAGGAAGACTTACCTTACTTGGCTCAACAACAGCCACATTTTCTGCCCCAACTTTCCTCTTCATCCGAGCACTCATGGTGATTCCACCAGCGCCTCCACCCAACACAAGTACTTCATAATAATCCTTGGCAGCACATCTGGCTGCTGTATGTAAGCCGAAGAAGCCCACCCTCTGCATTCCTGGTTTCAGCAGCCGTACACCAGGACAGAGACAGGAACAGGAGGACACGACTCCAATTGCTGACATCTTTCAGTAGGTGGAAAGCTGCAAGATAAGGAAGGGCACCAGTAACAATTGCAGAAGGTAGAATTTATATTTATTTGTATGCCTGGATGAGTCTTCAAGGCAAGAATTATAATTCTAAACCTTTGTTGCAGCTAAGCCACTAATTTGCAAATGGATTGTAATCAGTCTGGGGAAGAAGGAAAAAAAAAAGTCAATCATGGCCTCTGCCAGGAAATTGCAATTTCATACAAGCAAATAAATTCTAACAAAGCATAAGAACATTTTCTGGTTACTGTGGCAGGAAAGCGTATCTGATCCTATGGCACAGGCGATGCATAGGCTGTAACTCCAGCTGTAATATTACAACCCCGAAGAGATGAATGCTGCAAAAAGGAACAAGAATTTGCTAGGTGTTGTAGATCACTGAAATAGTGAACAAGGTAGTTGTGTCGAGGTTCTGAGTGCCTTTCCACTCACTGTAATGTCAGCCAAACACATCATTACCTTGGTACTTTAATGTTAGGATGTACCAGCATATGCACACATCAGACACCCCGCAGGGTGCAAGCCATCAGGGTAAGCATGCCCAGTTCTATGGTGCTTTGCGCAAGGGCATGTGTAATAGGCCATTCTTACAGAAGCAGTGAGCCCTAAGCTTGATAGGAAAACAAATTTCAATTAAACAAGAGTTTACATCTTCCTAGATCTGGGATCTTTGTGTATACCCAAAATACTTAGTTCTCTATCCATGGTCACCTCTTAGCTTTTACATCCAGCAAAGTAGCTGGAAACAAAGGTCAGAAGCCCATACTTATCCTTGCTACAGCTACACCCTGTCAACTGTGTTATCCAGAAGACAGTCAAAGTTAACCCATGTTTCCTTCCCTCTGCTAGAGTGAACAAGAGCTTTTCCTGTTCTAAATCCATTATTTGCATGGCTGAACATCAGTTTTTAGCTTTTCAGTGATAAAACAGGTATAAATTATTTTTAATTCCGTTCCTTACTGGCACATTGCCAATAAAGAATGAGTAAGCATTGTAACCTGAAAAGCAACTTACGATAAGACTTTCCTGTGTTCTACACCTGCTTCCCTTTGTTTAATTCCTCAAGTCATTAGGCAAGAATTCCAGCTTTTTCACTTAAGGGGTAGAACTCATTTATGGTACTTACAGGCAGGAGTTTGAAAACTAAACTAGAAACCTCAAATATTTTAAAGAAAATCTTCCAAAGTCAGCTTCAGAAATTCTCCACTATGCTAGATGTAGTTGAGCAATTCATTTTGCACCTTCATGTGCTATCTTAACATCCCTCATCTCCACATATCCCAATTTTTTTTATGAAGTCCCATTATTAACCCCTACAGTACAATTAATTTGGGACAGAGAGGGAGAATCTCAGAGATCTCCACTGTAAAACAAATTTTAATAATTTTGTTTTACAGAAAGCTTCCAAGACGCAGACATATTCTTCCCCTCCCCGTTCAAAATAAAAAACCCCAAATCTAGAATAAGTTAGTTTCACTTCAGAAGGTTGCTTATCATGTATCTGGTGCAGGCAGTTATTTAAAGATGTGGACAGACTGCTCAAGCAAGGGGAGGAAGTTGTTCTAGCCCTAGAAATAGAAGTTACCTGACAGAGTTGTGTCCTGCTTACTCCAAGCCAGAGAGAGATGAATTGTGAAGAATAAGTTTTGCAATTTCCATTTGCGATGCAGTTTTAAGAGTGACATCCTGTTTCCGGAAGCTCATGAACAGAGGATTTTGCTTTGCGTTTTATTAAACACACAGAACAGGCACAGTGGCCTGCTGATTGACGACTTACAGCATGTCTGGACCAAGAGAACAAAACCTCATTTTGTAGTGCTAACTAAGGAATAATTATTCTCTCTGACCAAATAGATTTTGAAGTAAGCACGCTTATAAGCACACACAAGATGTAGCTTAACGAACAGCAGTCTAATTTATGCAAATGCAGTATTATATTGTTGTCAAGCTGTTTCAGAGTATACAGAAACAAACAATCTGAAGTGTGATTTGTAGATAGCTATTTTAAAAAACAGCAAAATCCTTCATATTAAACTCCCAAGTTAGAGAGCAGCTGTACAATCAAGTCAGTCAAAACACATCAACCCTCTACTTTGGGCACTGGAGATAAGGAACAAGGAATTAGAACAAAAATGAAGGTAAGGTGGAAAATTTGTAATTAGCCTGCTGAATCGAGCTGAAATTTTAAGCTTTTACAAGACCATTTTAACACACAGCACACTTATCCATCACCCTTTAAACTATGCACAACAAAACGTGACCATTGATATTAGCCTTAGACAACATGAAATCACATTCCTAATGAAGATCCATATGCAAGTCTTAGAGCACTGCCGAGACAGGTCAAGCCTACAATACACTCCTCCACCCTCGTCAGGGCTCTGCCTAGCCTGAGACAGTTCTGCTGTTTAAAACTAGTTCTGTCACCAGGAGAGGTAAATCTGTTCTACAGATGCTTTCAGGACATGATGGTTTCTTACAGCATCAGCAGCTTGTATAATGCTACTGCAGCACAACTCACCTACCACCACATAACAGTCAGGGCAAGGTGACTCACCATAAGTCCACAAGAAATGTCCTATCTACCATGAGAGCTAGGATTCCAAAGCTTGTTCTTCTTTTTCCTCCTTTTTAAAACCAGACTTTTTTTTTAAACAGACTTAGCTTGAAGATAATCAAGCTATCCATTCATAAATCTCTTTTCCCTTTTACTGTAAAGCTATTTGTTTGCATGCTTTTAGAATAACTCTGTTTAATTAATACTGAAGAAAACACATGTTGAAAAATCATAGTTAAACCTGACCAGTATTATTTAATGTTTGAATGCCATCAAGCACGTTAAGGTAGTACAAGCATAAAACCAGTGACTTTTAAGTTTAAAAACATGAAATAGAAAACACAGTTTTCCGGACTTCATGGTTTATATCCCTTCAAGAGATGGAAAAACAAACATAAGGAACTATCTTCATTAAGCTGTTCTTGAACAAATCAATGACATTTCTACAAGCATCACAGAGGAAATTAATTGATTAGCTTTTTTTAAAAAAAAAACTTTAAAGAAAAATCTTGCAGAAAATAGGTTTATTAGGTAATATATTACAATTTAATATTTTTGTGCATTTTAACCAATTCCAATCTCTATCCAAGAAAACAGATTCAACAGAACAGGGTAAGTGTTCCTCAGCCAGTTCTGTGCAGACCCCAAACCAGAGCAGCTAAAATCCACCTAACTGCATTCATTACACCTTTTGCTATAACCTACCGTCCAGCCTATAAACAAGCTCAAAGTGTAAAGGTTATCTTTGGCTACAGTTCTCCACGTATTAATGACCACAAGTAAATAAAATCAACCTCTAAGCAATACAGATGTGGACAATAAGTCAGAAATGTAACTCTGGCAATTACAAGATAAGTAGTTAATTACAAGCACCAAAATTCAATCTCTTCTCACATGCACTTATTAGGTCCACTAGCTGATCTAACACGCAAGGCACTTTGTCACAATTAATTTTGCAGTCTTACGCAGGAGAGGTATGACAGAACAGGTACATCCTCAGACCCACGGGAAACACCCCGAATACCACGAGTTACAAGCCAAGCTCCTGACAAGTCTGTAGATTCACATCTAGTAGGTAAGCCTCGAGAGACACAACTAGTGCCTGTAACCCACGCACGACACTTCATGCGGAGACACTCAGGACTTTTCTCCCTCTCCGGAGTACCTATTGTATGTTTAGCTCCCAAGGCTGACTTCTTCATTGAGTCAGTTTATGAACCTTCTGTTGCAGGGAGTTAAAACAAATGAAGTTAGAAAAGCCTTACTAGCAAGAGTAAAGGTTGTTACAACTGTCCTCTCAACAGCTGGCCACAGATTAACAGTTTAAATACTCCACCCCCGCACAAACGCTCGGCAGCTCCGGCGTGCTAGCATGGCAGGCAGCAGTTTTTCACCCCGTTGCAAAGCCTGCACGCCTTACGCACCAAGCTCTCAACGGGGAAACGGTTACCAGCCTCCGAGCCAGCCACACAGCGGGTCAGCGTGCTCGGCTCTCCCTGCCACCGCGGTCCTCGCCCAAGTCGGACACCCCCAGGTGCGAGGGGAGGCAAACCCAGCCCCGCGCCCGAGGAGAGCTACTGCACAAGGCAGCGCCGGCAGCTCTCAGCAGCAATGGCTGTGGGTGCAGCAAACCCGAGACCAGAGGTACCCGGTGCCGCAGGGAGCCCCAGAGCAGCGGCGCTGCCCTGGCCGTGCTCAGCGAGACC